TTCTGATGTCCTTGACGCAAAGAGGGAGCCCAAGTCGAACCTTCACACCTCCGTAGTCTGCAAAGAGAAACTATGATGCTTTTCTGGTCTCTTCATGTTCAATGCTGAAATCTTTAACGAAGGCAAGATTCGCTGTGGCTTTTGCTCTCGTAAATTGCAAGCAGCGGCGATGGATCCGATTGACCCACACTATCAAACCTGCACCATAAAAGGTGGGTTCGATGATCGTGGAGGCTTCGGATTCCAGGGGATGAAAACGAGCCTGGTGGTCCTTGAATCCTTCTCTCCCCATTGTTCATCAATTATAAAAATACGACAGGTCACCCAAGAGAGTGGTTTTTTTTGGGGGGGAGAACTGGTCATGGAAGAACAAGACAAGGAAAGTATTTGTTGCTGTTTTGATCAGTTCGTTCCTCAATGACTCTGAGCTGGGCCCTTCTTCTCCGCGGTGACCTCATGATGTGCCAACACAGCAGTTTGCAAACAAAAAGCATGTGGCACGTTTGCAACGGGCAGGCGTGGGTGCTGTTTCCCTGTCTGTTTGTGGGCTCACACTCCTTTCGTGGCTCAGAGAGGCTGCCGTTTCCTTTTAAAACCTCTGAAGGGCACAGGTTCCTCCATAGAAAGAAGGAAGAGGTGGGAGGCTGGGGGCCGAGCCTTCCTCGGCAGGCAGAGATGGGGATGGTTCAGTCCTGCGCCTGCCCTCGCCTGACACACAGGGGTGCGAGGCGGGTGCGGAGAACACCACGGCCACCACGGTGACCCGCAAAATGCCCTGCCGGTGGGGCTCTCACCACAAGCTGGGTTGAATCTGAGGTTTCGTCTGGGGCGCAGACGTTGTCTCCTCAGCGTTTCCTCTTAGCCTCTCAAGGAGGTGAGGTAGTATTGTCTTAATAGTCTCCGCACCTACATTTGATAAACAACTACTGCTATGTTATATTATATATAAAACAGTCACTGCTCCTGTGAAGCACTGAAATGAATTGTATAAACACACTGTAAGGAATGACTGATTCTTTTAAGAATGATTAGATAAAAATTCTGTAAAGAAGAAATGTTTGAGGTTGATGTTTAATATAAACCTAACCTAACCTGAATTCTCAAAGAAATATGCAGAAGAAGTACCAGTTGTGGGGAAGAAGAAGGGGGGGAGGATAGTCCCTCCAAGTCCTCTCGAGGGTTATTTGGCTGGTCCCCATGGAAGCTTGATTAGCTACATGTTTTGCCTGATCCAAGAGGGCTCTTCTTAGTTCCTTAATTAATGGGAGTGGGGATCATAACTACACCAGCTAGATGCTCATAGTAGGCATCCCTCAGTCTTGAGAGACGATGGTAACTAGTTAGACACTTGTCGTTATTTAGTCGTCAAGTCGTGTCCGACTCTTCGTGACCCCATGGACCAAAATACGCCAGGCCCTCCTGTCTTCCACGGCCTCCCGGAGTTGGGTCAAATTCATGTTGGTCGCTTCAATGACCCTGTCCAACCATCTCGTCCTCTATCGTCCCCTTCTCCTCTTGCCCTCACACTTTCCCAACGTCAGGGTCTTTTCCAGGGAGTCTTCTCTTCTCATGAGATGACCAAAGGATTGGAACCTCAGCTTCAGGATCTGTCCTTCCAATGAGCTAGATGCTAGTTTGCCGTAATTAACTTGTGGAACCCACTGCTACTTGATAGTGTTGTGACCTACTAGAGGTAAAATATTCTTTAAAATTAAGTTAAGTACAGAGGGCTATAAAAGACACAATATGCAGAGGGAGGACCTGGATTCAAGACCAATAGTCTCCATAACCAACGCATTTTAAAACCTTAACAATTTTTTGGCATAAATTTTTGTTGAGTAGAGGGAGCCTGAGTCAATTCAATAGCATTCATCAAGTATATACTACAACTGGCAGCTTTTCTAATTAAAGATACAGGAGGCAAAGATAAATAATGACGTAGAGGGGTGTGGAATGTCAAAAAATTCAGGCTATGATCGTTGTCTTAAAACTTAAATGGGTGTTAAATAATTATTACATTGACCATTCATAGGGGGATTGAGGAGAACACAAAAATGCTTGTCTTGTTAAACTAATAATCAGTTGGTAATGGGATAAAAACCCTCTTATTTCTTTTCAGGCTGCGATGATAGAATTGCACTTCTTGATAAATATCCTCTCTTTAAAGTTTCTTTGTTCCAAAAGGGCTACTTTCAAATCAGACTTGACAGAAAAAGGACAATATCCAAAAATCGGGGGTGGGGGGGCATATTTTAACCATCCGAGGCATTTGCTAGAAATCTTCCCCAATCTGAGATTTGAAAGCATGTTAAAAAAATAAAAATAAAAATCTCACAGCAGGGTTATTAGCTGACCACTCCTGGAATCTTTGGCATACCATCAATTCTGCTTTTTTTGGAAAGTCAACAAATCATTAGGTGGGAGCCGTTAATAGAATGACCATCATCCTCTTTTTGCTTGCCTTTTCTGACCCACTTATCTGACTCCTTACACTTTGACCCCATGCCCATTTTCATATCCCTGGCCAACTTTGGACCATGAGGGATCTGATAAACTGGTATGATCAGACGGTGAGAACGGATCTGATCGCACTGTAAAGGGTCATTTCCCTGGGAGTGGTTGCCCTCAAATGACCTTTCCAACACTACAACCATTCCTCCATCCCAGCTCCCCCCCCCCAAAGCAGCCCCATCTCTGGCCCAAACAGTTCCAGCTTGTACACAGAATGGGAGTAGGCTGGTTCACGATCTCCTGTGTGTTGTATGATTGCCGGGAAACAGATCCCACTAGCCACACGTGGTCCAAAAGGCTAGCCATTTCTCCATCTGGTCACACCCAAAGTGGTTGACTTTCGTCCATGAAAGCTTGTGCTGCACATAAATTTGCTAGCCTTTAAGATGCCCAAAAACTCTGCGGGTGCTTGCAGGTGGCATCTTTATTCTGTATTTTCGCGTGCCAATTTGGTGTGCTCCTAGGATAGAATAACCCATCTCGAACTTTTGTAGACTTGTGGTGAAACAAAGCATCCCTTGGAAAGCTTGCCCATTTCACGAATTGCTCACCACGAAGTGGAATGGGGTGGACATGTGCGAAGCAGTACGAATTTGAGTCTCTGTGTTTTTCACACCCTGCTATTGAATAGAGTTGTACAGAATTACGAGTTGGAGAAGGGGCATGTTGTGTAATTGTACCTCCCTGTTTGTGATAAAGGGTATCTCTGCCTAGCATCCCTGTGAAGGAGTGTGAAGGAGAGAGAAAAGAATATTGTTTCTGGGTTCATCGCCTCTAGAGAGATGGCTTAATCCAGTTTTTAAAAGAAAGGTGTTAGGCATGACCAAATCTCTTCTCTAGGATGGAAGAACTCACAAACTCTCCAGGGCAGTGTTCCTATTGGCAAAATGGGAATAATAACAAAGCCCTTCATATGACATTGTTGTTAGCTTGAGCACACAAAAACACTATGAATGACAGTGCATGACCCTCTTCCCTCCCCGCCTCCTGGTCCTGATTTCTGGGTACGGCTTCGACCCCAGCCAAACTGGCAGCTTCTCTTGCTTTCACTGAAATTAGGGAGCACAGCTTTCTTTTCTGGGCCCTTCAGATGTTTGTGAGCATTCCGTGGCACGACACCTCAAGTTTAGAAGCCTCATTGCCACTGATGAAGAGAACAACCACAAAATCAGTTTTAATCCTGGCAAAGGGGATGAAGAATTGGTTTCTCGGACCAGATTCTTACAATTTCTTCCTCCAGCCATGGCTAGCCGCTATGAAATTCTCCAGTGGGTTTGGATGACTTGCTATCATGTTATACTTCGACATTCAGGAGAATTGCTGTTTGCCACAGTAGCTAAAAAAAGAAGGAACCTCCACGTTGAAGAATGCTATACCTTATGCCCTATTACCCAATAATGGGAACAAAAGTAAAGAGATAGGTATATCTCTCTTTTTACACTGGCCAAATGTCATACTATTGACTAATTACCAAGCACCCAATCTCTTACTTGAAGGCAATATGCATTCAAGTGTTCTTATTTTTCTGAATGCATTTGTCTGACAAAAGTTGAGCATCGGAATGCACGCTTTAAGGAAAAACTTCACACAAAGATGTATACCATGAAGAAACAAGCAAAAAGCACACACCATTAGCAGAAATTCATTGGAAAAAAAACACATGGGGTCTGACGTTTTGACCAATTTTCATAGACTGAAGCCCCTTGAACAACTTGCTCATTGGTTAGTTAACACCCAAGGAAATCCCACTGCATCAGTTGTTGTTGTTGTTGTTGTAACCATCTCGTCCTCTGTCGTCCCCTTCTCCTCTTGCCCTCACATTTTCCCAACATCAAGGTCTTTTCCAAGGAGTCTTCTCTTCTCATGAGATGGCCAAAGTCTTGGAACCTCAGCTTCAGGATCTGTCCTTCCAGGGAGCGCTCAGGCTTGATTTCCCTGAGTTCTGCATCAGTGGGTCAACTCTTGTTGAAATGAGTGATCATATTTGATCATTTTGGCCCAACTCTCAGGAATCACGAAATATTGGGAGAATCTCTGATTAAGCTCCCCAAAGTGAAGGAAAGCTGTAAGAGCATAAAGCAGGAGAGACCTTCCCGGGGCATCCATTTTGCTCTTTTCAACCTGGTGCTCCAAGCATCTGGAACATGGGTGGCACTTTGGAGAGAGGACTGGAGAAGTAATTTTACCCTGACCCCCCCCCCCAGCTTGTTTTAGGGTTGGGAGGAATTCCATTGAGAGATACACAAACACAAATACAGTTTCCCAAACCCAGGGGGCACCTTCTCTTCCTGAAGGGGAGTATTTCACAACCAGGGAGCAGCCACCGAAAAGGCTCTGCCTCATGTCTCTGTTAAACATGTCGGGGATGGCCTTGGGACCGGGAGCAGGGCGTCCTCGGAAAGTCTTACAAGCCACGAAGACTCCTATAGGGCCTCTGGCCACCCCTCAACCAACCCGCACAAAAACATACCGTACTAATGACACATCTTCCTTTTTTTGGTTTATTTGGACAGTCATCTTCTCAGCTGCCCAGTTAAATCCAGCCGTGGGGGGAAACGCGGTGTTCACCTGCAACGTATCCAACATGCGTACTTCAAAATACTCCATTTTCTGGTACAAGATGGGTGAGGACAACCAGCCGAAGAAACTGGACAGCAGCAATGGGAAGAAATATCTCCAAACTGAAGTCGACCCGAAGACGTTCAAGATGAACATTCTAGATTTAAAGAAGAACGATAGTGGGGTTTATTACTGTGGATTGATATCCTTCTCGTCCAATCAGACCCTGATAGAAAGCAAGAAGATTAACCTCACAGTGTCAGGTTTGGTGTAAATCTCTCCTGATTTGTGTTTATCTCCAAAGGATATTGTATGTGGCTGCTAAGTCTGTCCCTGGTCGCTTTCTTGCTAGGCATGTTCGCTTTGGAAAGAATGCGTCTGATTTAACACATTAACATCAAAACCATTATTTTTGAGTGAAACAGGAGGAATGCATGCAATTAAAAAAAACGGGTCAAACGTAGTATAAAAATGTTTTAAAACTTTTGAGACCTTTCTAAGCTGCCTCTGTTGCAGCAACAATTGAATGAAATAAGTCTCAAGGAAGTGGCCTTGATCCATGAAACCTCACTTAATAATAGAATAGTCTTTAAGGTTCCAGATTAATTTTTTGTAATTTATTTTTGTCCAGGTTTGTTTTAAACATTTTGCCTGATATTGTGAAATCTAACTTGTTCTTTCCAAGCCCTACCAGTTCCCCCAGTTTTAAAAATCCCATTTTCTGCCCTTTTATGTACTGTATGACTCAGGCTTGGAAAAGCTGTTGTACTTTGGCGGAAAGGAAATGCTCCTTCTCTCTTGGACTGCAGTTCTCAGAATCCACCAGCCGGGGGGGGTCACTGGCCCCCTTCTTTTGGTAGATGCTGGAGGTTGTGGTCCAAAAGAGGATCATTTCAAACCTCTGAGCATCTTCTGGCTTCTGCTGATGCTCATGTGCTTGGCGGGAAGGTTAAAGAGATGGAAAAAGAAGGAGGAGACTCAAATCTTACCGGCAGGACAGTGATCTATGAGTTGATTGATGGGGCCTCCAGATGAGTTTATGGGCTTCAATTGGTACCCAAGGGGGCCAAACCTTGGCACCAGTTCTGACGGTCAGAGGTAGAAGTGGCTTCCTGCTTGTGAGACGGAGCCTCATTAGACTTCTAGGGTTGAAACACAGAACGCAAGTGGAAAGAAAGGAAAAATAAGTGTTACCCAACCCAACTTTTCCCCCCTTCCTGCTGGGAACAGATCGAACCCATTCTCAGTGATTCAGACTTTCTTGTTTTTGAGAAAGCCAGACAGGAAAGGAAAGCAATATCAGGTCTTGAGGGAAAATACCTGCCTGCCATACGTAACTGAGTTAGATCATTTCTAGACTGCCCTGGCAGTTACGCCGGGTATTTCTTGATGTTTAGCGGTTTGAAAATGTTATTCGTGTAAGGCAGCATGAGAAAATCGACAGAGCTGAATAGTCGAGAGATGAAAAATCTGTCCGATTAACAGGAAAAACAAGAATGTATGTATGCATTGTTATTTTTTTTTTAACTGATGGGGAAGCATCCCTGTTGTGTCATATTTATGAAGGCAGGCGACATATTTGACGAGTAACCATCCAGAGACAGAATGACAAGTTTCAGAGCTTTGCTGTGGTCCAGAGCGTAGACTTTTCCCCTCTTTTGGACTACAATACCCATCATTCCCCAGCCAGCAACCTGGGAAATTGTTTAATGTTTCTGAACTCTGTTCTGACCCAGCTTGAGATCTCTCAGTATGACAAAGCTCAGCCTCCGTGTCACATCTGCCAAGAACAAGACGGACCCACTAGTTCCTTTTTATTTAATTAACTTATTTTCATGACGCTTTTCTCCTTAAAGAAGGACCCAGGGCAGCTTACATCATTAATATTTTTAAAAATAAAACAGGAGGTATACGAATATTTAAAAAGGATTAAACAAATATTATATTAAAGATGGTAAATGAAATCAATCCTAAAAAAACCACATTTCACAGCAGTAAGGCACAACTATTTAAGCACGCTTCTGAGATAGCCAGTCTCTGAGAGAAAGCCTTGCTTGAAGGTTTTTCGTCTGCTTGCAGAAGGATGTCAAAGATTTGGCCAGCCTGACCTTCGGTGGGAGGGAGTTCCAGAATTCTGGACAGAACTCAGAAAAAAAGTCCCTTTTAAAGACCACAACTCCCATCATTCTGGGAGGCTTGGAAAAAGAGATAGTGGCTTTTTTTTGCATACCATGTCTCTTAATAGAATCTGGGTAGTGGCAGTTCCCCAACAGTGAGTTTCCTAAATTCTGTTGGGGGCCGGGAGAAGTCTTCATGGGTGCGGTCTTCCAGTTGTTGCTGATGGGAATCGTAGTCCAGCATCATCTAGGAGGGTTGGCACTTGTCCAGCCCTTGTTCCACAGGATCGCTAGCCTGTCTCTTAGCACCCATTATCTTGGTATTCTAGGGTCCACGTGTGCAACATAAGTGTAGATGAACTCACCTGGCTGTGTGCTAAAAATCTGCAGATTCTGTGCACTAAATATTGCAACATTCTGCAAGACTCTTCTCACTTTGCCTTCACAAGGTTCTGTGAACTTGCCCTGCTTGTGAAAGTAAGAGAGGTGAGACTTGAGCTGAAATCCAGCCGTGTAATTTACAAGGTGTAAGGTCATCACCTCCTCAGCAGAAGTGGGGTTGTTTGGTTTTTTGGGGGGAAATTAAACATTTCCAGTCTTTCCCGGAAGGTCCTCCTATGACTCCTTTGGGATCCTTTGAATCAGCGGTGCCCAACCTTGGGTCCCCAGAGGTTCTTGGACTACAACTCCCAGAAGCCTTCATCATGAGCTCTGATGGCCAGGAATTCTGGGAGTTGTAGTCTAAGAACATCTGGATACCCAAGGTTGGGGAACCTCTGCTTTAAATCTTGGGGAAGCTTTTGGGGGCCAGGAGAAGTCTCCAGTTTTCAAAAACCACTTCCGCCAAGGGGTTTTTACCACCAGGAGTGGTGATTTTTAGAAATGAAGAGCTCCCTTCCAATCTCACAGCACCCCCCATGGCTTTACCCCAACCTAGGAGCCTTGGGACCTGGTGGGGGAAGGATCGGAAAGGTTTTATGACCTCCTCTACCTTATGCAGTGTAGCCGTGAAAACAGGATTTCAGCCATGTTACCCATCTAGTGCTTGGGAGAAGTGTATGTGTTTGTGTCTTTGTGTGTGTGTGTGTGTTTTGGACAGTGACTCCCAGAACCCATCTTCACCAAAGATGGCCACTTGGAAATGTCGGGCATCTAGTTCAAGAAAGTGCTTTTTTTCGGGAAGTCAGAAAGGCTAGCCTGTTTCGGCAAACCTCACCCCTGAAACAAACCACCTCGTGGCATCTTTTAAGAGATTAACTCCAAGGGGAGCTTTCAGAATCTGTTTCTATGAATATGAAGAAGAGGGTTTTAATTCTCACCAAAGCTGGACACTGAAATCAATACGTTCGTCTTCAAAGGTGCCACAAGAATTTCAGTTTTGGTTTTGTTCCCGGTTACTTTGTTCAAAAAAAGGAACTTTCCCAGGGCTCTCTCTCAGGTTTTGCTTTGAGATGGAGTGGGCATTCCAGATCCAAGTGGTGACTCTGCCTTTCTGCTTAAAACCCTCAGAAAAAAACCACGATCCTGGACCTTCGGAAGATCCAGGGGAGGAAGAGCGTCAGGATGAAGAAGGTCACCAGAAGATCCTCCTTCCTGTCGTTACAGGATCTGGACTTCTTTTGGTGCTTGTAGGTTCCTGTGTCCTTCTCGCTTACCTCATGAGGAGAAAGCAAGGTATGTACCATAAGGGCTGTTGGCCTGTTTGGCATTTGTTTGTTTGTTAGCCCTCTTCTAATCATCTGGCCGCTATAACCCACCCTCCATGATTTCCAGAAAATAAGAAACCAGGGTTCTGAGAGTTCTTCAGCTATTCAAAACAACTTCTCCCCCCCCAAGAGAAACAGGAGGGGTGGGTGGGTTTTGAGTTGTGAGTCAAGGCCAAATCATTGGGGAAAAAGACCACCCCAAGTTAAGTCCGACTTGACAGCGAGTCCCCCGATTCAACCCACCAACCCTGGTCATCTATGTCTTTGGCATGTTGTGTGTCTTCAAAGATGGTTGGCAAACCCTGAATGAGGTTCAAGGGGAGGGGGACTTTGAATCTATAACCCAACAATTCGTTTTTCTAGTGCCGCTGGCTCATAGACCGGGTGCGCTTTTAGAACCTCAAGTTGCAAGGCTAGCTGTCAAGTTGGACTCAATGGACCGATGACTTGACTCAGTTTCCCCACCCACCCAATGACTTGGACTCAACTTGCGACTCTGGGGAGAAAAGCTTGTTTTTAATAGGCCAAAGATTTGGACTTGATACTTGGACCCAAAGGCTTGCCAACCTCCTTGACTTGCACTAACTAGACCTCTTTTGGAGATCTAGAACGCCAGAGGTGGATTTGCACAGTTCTAGATGGAGCTTGGCCACTGTCCTGCTGGCTATGGGATTTTAGGCATATCTGTCAAAAAATGTAACATTTCCCATCCGTACGCCGGCTATTTAAAACATAAAATGGAAAACAATAAAACAATGTTGAGAAGTAGCAGATAACGTGACTAAGATAAAATCCACAGGCAGTAAAACTGGAATGTAGATGATGTTATAAATAGTGTACATTAAAAAAAAACCAGAAAAAGCAACCGTCCTAAGGAGCTACTGAAACACTCAGAATTTCCAGTACTGTTATTGGTTGTGGCAATGGTTTCATTTCAGGAAAGACCGATTCTGATGGTCTGCCTTGTTTTTCAGAGCACAGAAGCTCACAGGGTGAAAATGCTCCCTTGGTAAGTCTCTTTTAGCTAAATTCAGGGGCCCGCCACCCCCCCCCCCAAACGAAGAGGGATAAAAAGAAATTTGGAGGTTCTGAAAATAATTCCCCACCCCTACCTAGAGATGTAAAATTTCTGGAAATTTCCACTTTTCCCTGAAAAAACACAAAACGAGGTGACATTTTTTCTCCTGGAAAAAAATGATCTGATCCCCCACCCAATTTTTTCCATCTTTACCCCTGCCCCACACTGAGATCAGCAGGGTCCAGATAGTGGCTTTTGTGTCTCCTGCAGGGTGAGGAAGACTTTTAAAATTCATTTTTGGTGTGTCTCAAAGGAGTGGTGGTGGTGCTGAAGTACTGTCCTGGGAGCCTTTGTGGTGGAGGGGGGGTCACTCGTAGCCAAGTCTTGATTTAGGTCAATGAACCATTTTTTAAAAATCTGTTCACAGGCTTACGACAGATGTTAAAAAGTTATTTTTGTGAAGTAGTTCCCACAAAGAGCCCAAAATAAGTTTGGTTTTTGTTATATTGCAACAAAGCAGAATCCCTTTGCTTGTCTGCAAATGACAGATTTTTTTTTTTAGCTACCTTGAAAATTCTGTTTTTCATTCATCCAGACAAGGTAGACAACAAGCCAGCACCTGAAGCTTATGATATTCTTCCTCTGCTACAATATTTAGTGAGCCCTAGAAAATTAACTTGGAAGCTGGGAGGGGATTGGCTGTATTAG